TATACATATATATATATATATACATATATATATATACATATATATATATACATACACACACACACACACACACATCATTAATGTAAGGGCAGTGCTGAGTTATCAGCTAAGGCTTGGCTATCAATTTCTGTCCATAAACTGTTCTGTACAATCTAGATATCAGCTAATTAATGGTAACTAAGTAATAAAATACTGTAAGCACAAGTAAGCTGTAATATAATACACCAAATGGCACCAACAGCATAAACACAGTGGAGGGGTCGAGCTCAGTGACTGCAGTTAGTGAATGTGAGGCCAACCAGAGATATCAGCTAGAGATGCCTGTGTCTGGATGCCTGTCTATCAAAGAAGTTACACCCCTAACTCCAGTACCCATGAGGATGTTACAAAAAAGACTAGACTCCCATGAGTTGATATTAGATGGGGAAATCTTATTTTTTTTGCATGAGGCTGTAAACATGTTTCTTAATGCTCTGAAAGCTCGGTATTTGAACATGGAGTCTTGTTTTTGGAACCAGCAGCACTTTTTTGCACTCCTACATTAGCTACCCCCTTTTTTTCTTTTTGGCTTAGTGGCTTAGGTTACTGGTTAGTGTGGGTGTCAACCCAAGATAACTGACTACATCTGGAGGGTGCCGGGGCCACATATGGCCACATTCTTTAAGCAGCATACAAGTAATCACGTGTCCTCAGCAAAAACTGTGTGTGTACTCCTTTGGGCACCGGTGGTGTCTTATTCGACATAATGAAAATTTTGAAAAGGATTTAGAAATATATTAGAGATTCACTGATCATCTTGGGCTGTTTAAATGGCCTGCAACACACCAAGGAATACTTATTCTGACGTCTTCTTTTAAATTCCAGCACACCAGTCACAATTTCTGGTCTTTGCCCACTGAAATAATCTAGGTGTTTACTGTCATATTGAGCAGGGGCATGACATTCTATTACACAAGTGGTCACTTGAGACCAGATGCTGTAAATAAAAGATGGATATAGCCATCGTGACCTTACCTGTTGGTTTGTGCAGACCTGGTGAGAAGTCTCACCATTTTTTCCCTTTTTTAAGAGCTTGAAGTGACCGTATATGGACGAGAAGATCTAGAGATAGGTTATCAGCTAACAGTAGCAACCTGGGTTAGCTGCGTGTATCTGTAGACTGCCATATTATTTGTCTGATTACGGCATTAAAATTGCTGAAAAAACACACCAACATCTCAAATATGGCCGAGAGGTCTATTTCAGAGACCTCCTCATATTAGGTAAGATCGGATTTAGCAGAGTATAGCAACCTAGCTGGCATATGTTTGCTCAGTGTGACCATGGGCCTAGTTGTGCATCACTTTAGTTAATTAAAATGGGTCATAAAAGGAAAAAACAAACAAACAAAAAAAACCCGCGTTAGTATCTGGCTTTAAACATGCTTATTTCTGCAGTGAAGTTTAGTATTTGAACATTTGAGCCAATTAAATTTACCTGCTTTTAGCAAGCCTCAAGTGGCAATTTAAGGTATTGCCGTTTTTGGTACTTTACTGCTAGCTTCACCTCTAGAGGTTGCCCCTTGCTCTACATCAGGGTAGGCAACTCCAGGCCTCGAGTGCCGGTGTCCTGCAGGTTTTAGATGTGTCCTTGATCCAACACAGCTGATTCAAATTGCTAAATTACCTCCTCAAAATCTCATGAAGTCCTCCAGAGGCCTGGTAACGAACTAATCATTTGATTCAGGTGTGCTGACCCAGGGTGATATCTAAAACCTGCAGGACACCAGCACTCGAGGCCTGGAGTTGTCTACCCCTGCTCTATATTCATGTCAAGAATAATAAGGATACTTGCACAGTCTGAGCCCAACTAACCCTAGCATGCCACTTTGAAATATGCATGTGCCATCAG